ACAGTTCTCCAACCTTCAAAGCAAGCAGCCCTAAGACCCTACCCCTCTGGTGACCTCAATGGGTCCCATTGTCCAAGAGGCTATTTGGCTTGACCCCAGCCCCATAAGCAGCAGGACAGCAAGCTCAGAGAGGGGTCTGCCTTGTCCTCTCAGCCTCAGCTGGCCGCCTTGGGGGAGCCTGTGGGGCAGGGGCCCCGCTGAATGTGACCTATTATCTTCAGGGTGGATTTAGGAAGTGTCAAGCTCCCATCAAACAGCCCTGCTCCTCAGGTAAAACAAAAAAAGGGCTGTTCATTTAGGACCTTTTTTTCTTATCTCCTCAGGCTTAGCTATGGTGTAGTGTTCAAATCCACTTCCCCTCTGAGCCAATCAGAAGCCGGGGCTCACCCCATGGCCCTGAGGTAAAGTTATTTATAAACGCCTCCCTGGATTATTTGAGCAGAGCCCTTTCGCACACCTCTGGAACACCTTTCAGCTGCCTGCTCCCCAGACACACCTGCAGCCCTGCCCAGCCAGCTCTGCTCACCCACCGGTAAGCCCCACCCAGCCCACCCCACTGGGCATGGGGTACTTGAAGAGGGATGACAGGAACCTACTGGTCAAGGGGTGGGCGGTGTGCCAATCTGAGCACAAGTGGGAAAGACCCTCTGGCCCCTGGGTCTGAGAGGAGCCCCCATCCCTGAACCTCTGAGGAGCCCACAGGGTCTTCACTTTCATGTATGGATCGGGGCAGCAAGGCAGGAGGCTAAAAGGAGCTTGTAGGACTGAGGCTCTGGTCGAGGAGGTCTGCCAGACCCCAAAACAGTGAGGTGAAGCAGACAGCTCCTTTGCAAGGGCTCCTTTCCTTTGCAAAGGAAAGAACAAAAATATTGGAACTTCCTCAGGGCGCCCGCCTTTGAAGCTGCTGGCCGTACCTCTCCCTTTCTTTTCAATCTTGGAAGCAAAAAGCTCTTAATGCTTGGCTCACAGGCCTGCTCTGTGGGCTGTCTCCCCCTCCTTCTGCCCCCCAGATGTCCTCTTTCACTCATTCACTTCTCCACTAGCTTGGGGAACCTGCATGGGCTGCAAGGAATCTGTTGGTGGCCATAATCCTGAGAGGCTGGAGGAGGTGGAGGGAGGGGACGGAAAGGAGAGGGAATGGGCTAGCAAGGATCCAGCTTTTCTGGCAAGTGGGATCAGGACCCAGGGGACCTGACTCCCAGGTGAATGCTTCAACACAAGAGGGTTTAGGCCAGCTCCGCTGGCTCCCAGCCACCTAACCCTTCATCCTGCAGCTCTAAGGGTCCCAAGTCACCCGCAGGCATTGCCCTGTTCCTGAAAATTAGCTCACAGGGTCCCCCAGCCTAAGTCAAGCAAGTTTTTCATCATTCTACCATAAACTCCCCACTTACATTTGGCCCCACTGGGTCTGAGCACCAGGAGGAAGACTGGCTTTCAATGTGTGCCCCTCGGAGAGGCATAGCTCCCCTATTTGGGCAGATCAAGAGAGGGCTTTCCTCCTGGATGTCTTTTCTCACATAGATACCCTTCTCCCAGAGCCTATGCTCCTCCCTTCAGCCCTGGCATTCAGAACCTGGCAAGACCCTCCCAGGGCAGCATGGAAACCAGCACACACGCCTCCTCCACTGCCAGGATGGCCTTCCTGGGCACTTCCCAGAGTCTGGTCGAATGTCCTGAATGTTTGTTTGTATGAAACACTGGGGATGAACATCGACTCTTTTTATCTCTTAATGTCCAAGATCTTCTGTGGACAAGGGATCGGCACAGTTTAGTGTGTGGGCTGAACTAACCCAATAACCAGAGTCTGATCCCAGGGAGCTCCCTGAGGTATTGGGGGCCCAGCTCAGCACTTACCAAGCTCTGTACTCCTTGGATTAGAGCAGCTGGCCCTTCACTGGTCTTCTTGTCCGCTTGCCTGCTTCCAAGTGAGTCTAGTCCTAACCTTACAGACCTCTAGGAGTCTAACCTTAAGTGTCCATTTTAGGGATCCCATGACCTTGGTCAGGTCTCACTGCTGGAAAGTGCTTTTCAAAGTCCAGCCTCAATATTTTTGCTAGAGCTTGTTTCTTCAGCCCTGCACCTATTCCTATGCCCAGCAAGGAAAGTAGAGTGAGGAGACAGCAGGCTTAGAGATAAGGAGTGGGGTTTGCGGGTGTTGGCAATGACTCATTCTCCTACAGAGGATGCCAGTCCCTAGAACAGCCAGAGTAGGAAACCAACACGGGCATCTCATGCTCCCCCTCACATTACTAATGAGAGAATTAGGCTGGGATGAGGAGGGGGTAGGAAATTTTCCCAAGAAACATGGGGACAATAGAAATAAGAGGAGTATTGACAAATACCTTCAAGACCCACAGGCCTCTACACCCTCATTCCTTCTGCCAGGGACATGGTCCCCAGCTGAAAGCCCAGCCCTCCTATCCCATCCCCATCTTCCCCCCCACCCACTTAGCGGCAACCCTCTCCCTGTGGCTACCACCCTGGACAAGGCAGGGAGGAACCAGCAGCTATGGCAAAGGGGAAACCTCAAAGTGACCTTTTCTCTTCCCAGAACACAACAACAGCCCAGGTAAGGACCCATGATAAGAACGCAAGGGTGGGTTGGCCAAGTCAGGGCTGCTCCCGTGCCTGGCACAGGTGCACAGATGCACGTCAAAGAACCCCCACCCCCACCCCAACCCCAACATACACACTCAGCCCGGGTAGGGCTGAGGAGAAGTCAGCCGGGGCCACAATGACAGGATCACCTCCAGACCTGCCCAAAACCTCAGACACAGGCTCCTCACCTCCCTGCTCCCCAGATGTCCTGCCCTCTTCTAAAAAGATTTTCTGCTTTTCCTCTCACCAGTCCTGGGAAACTTTGGAGGGACGAGGGCATAGGGACGGGTGGTGGCGGGGTGGGATGGCATGTAAGGCAGATGGAAAAAAGAAGACCAAGAAAGGCAGAGTGACCTGCCTGAGCTTGCAGAGCAAGGAAGGGCATCCAGAATCATTGTAATAGTAATGATAACACAATCAGAATCTGTTGCACGCTCGCCATAGCCAGGCACCCTTCCAAGCCTTTTTATGTATTAACTTGGACATAACCAAACACATCTCTGCCTAAGTGTTCTGATGATGTGGCCATCATTGGATGGAGATGCTTGTGGGCTTTTTCTTGTATGAGCTCACTGTGAGGGGAATTAGGGTTCTGATGTCATGGAGAGAGAGGCCCGGGGGGAGTCTGCTTTGGCCTGTGCCCTCCCCGGTCCATTTCCTCTTTGTCCCCCCACCCCAGCTCCTTAGCTCTGAAGACCTGTGAATCCCCCTAGCCTCCAGGTGTGACCCCACTCCCCTGCCAAGTCTTGGGAATTGTCTGGACGCCCGCCTCCCCTACCTTCCGCTCTTGCCATCCTCTACTCCCCTGGAGCCCCACAAGCCCCTCCAGCAGTTCAGGATCCTTTCCTCCTTCCCTCCACAGTGCGGAGGCCACAGGGGCACCCTTTTGTTTCTCAGGATTGTCACATGGCACTGGAGCTATTTATCCTTAACCCAGTGGGGGTGGGGGTGCTGTTTAATGGGAGGCAGGGCTTGGTGATACACACCTGGCAATAGAGCACTTGACTTTTTTCAACGATGTTGACATCACTCGGCAGGGCCCTGTGTTTGTTTAACTAGGGATCAAGTCATCTCGTCCCCTGTACCGCTCTCCCTTTCTTGCTCCCTCGTTCACCTTCTCACCCTTAATCTAACATTGCAGGAGCCTTCTCTGGGGGTCCCTGGGAGCCCCTTAATTCTCTGAGAACCTTTCTAGGAGAGATGGTGCCTCCAGCCCTCTGGCTCACCCTTTTCCGCCTCTCCCATCCCCCTTTCCTCCCTGGCCTGAAGGACTGGCTGGGGATGAAGTAACCTCCCACCTTCTACTCCACCCCACCTCAACCCCTAGTCTTGGAATTAGGAAGTATGACCAGGGCACCTCCTCACCGGGAGCTGGGGCAGTTCCTGTAGCTGCAGATTTACCACTCTGGGAAATCATTGTCCTGGGAATGCAGAGCCCAGGAGAGGAGTCGGAACCCATGGCAGAGCCCTCAAGAGGAAAGACACCCAGCAGTCCTGTTCTGTCAGCTGCGGTGGAAGGTCACCAGGGTGGTCCGCAAATGGCACTCTGGATGCCACTCAGGGGACAGCTCCCAGGTAGCAGGATCAGGGTCATCTCTGGGAGCACTTGATTTGGAGTTGAAGGCTTGGTTCAAATTCCATACAGCCTCTCTGTAAGACTCAGTTTCTTCAGCCACAAAATGAAAGGGTTGGACCAGTCTGGCCCTCAGTTTCTGTTCTAGACAAAACTTCCTCAGTGTGACTGGCTGCTCGGTTCCCCTTTTTTTGTTGGTAAATCTCAGGATTGGGAAAGTGCCCGGAGGCTTCTCCCCTTCAACACCCTATTTCTGGAATGAAATGGGCAGAGTATATGGGGATAGAAACCGGTTTTGCATTCCAGTAAAGCAGGGAAGCTTTTTATCCTCTGTTAGCCTGTGTAAAAGGGAACTCCCCTAGCATCTAGTCCCCATCTGTAGGAAGAGTGCCCACAGGGACAGAAAGAGTCCTGAGTCATCCACCTGTGCTCAGAAGGATTTTCAGTACCACTGTCCCCTTTTCTCCCTCTCTTCCCTGGAAGTGACAACCAGAAGTGACCAAAGGCAACTCTGATGTATAGGCTGGAAGGGTCCAAATGAAGGAGATCTGAAGAGAGAGATCCCAGGCTTTATAGAAGGGGAGGAGGGCAGAAAGAAGGTGGAGAAAAAGGAGAAGGGAGGAGGAAGAAGCGAAGCAGGTCTTAAGAATAGGCAGGTTGAGAAAGGCAGAATGAGTCAGGGAACCCCTGCTAAGGAGGAAAGTGTGGTCAGAGCCCCAGAGGTAAAACTGAGCCAAGCCTCTTTGGGGGTGCTGGCTGGTGCCTTTGGACCCAGCCAACAAATATACCAAGTCCACCAAAACAGAATCAGATAGCAAACGGACAAACATGCCAAAATAAGCAGTTTGAGCTTGATCCTCGAGGAAATGAAGAAGCTGAGGGTTTCTGAGCAGGGAGTGTAGGCTGGAGACAGAATCGGGGAGCAGGCTATTGCAATTGTCCAGGTGTGAGATAAGACCTGCGGAGGTGGGGGACAGTAGAGACTGGAAGGAAACAGCAAGAAGACTGATGAACAACTGAATATGAGGCTCGGGGGAGAGAAAGGGCAGGGACAAGTGTGTGTGGGGGGAGCGGGGGCCTGGGTGACAGGGAGAAAGGTAGCACTGAGGAAACGGGGAAACATGGCAAGGAGAGCTGGGTTAGTAGGGTTCAGTAGGAACGTGGCCACAACCCCCTCCCCACAAATGCACTACTAGAACTTAGAGCCCTTGAGAGCTGCCTGGGAAGGGGCTTTAGGGATCATTGCCTGCAAGTTGGTGTGGAATCAAGATCTCTCATCACCCCCTCTTCGAAGGTGCTCCCCTCTTCTGGGTCAGTTCCCCCTGAAACTTTTGGCTATTTTTTGCAAGTGGTCTTCAGGGGCCTGGGATAGGCCACTGTGAACCATGAGCCTCTGAAGCTAGGCTGGAGCTCTGGGCTCCTCCAGAGGGTCATGTTCCCCACTCATTGCTCCCAGAGGTCTCTCCAGGCAAAGCACCTGGAAAGCCAGACCCTTTCAGCCCTGGAGAGGGTGGGGAGCAGAAGGAGGAGCAAGGCCACCACCTTGCGTCACGTCATGGGAGGGTGAAGGGCAGGAAGCCTCTGAATAGTCCCTCCTAAGATGAAGGAAGCACCCTCCCATGTTAATCATAGCAATCATCGCCGTTACCATTTACTGAGTGCCTTTGGAAGGCCAGTCACTACACACAATCCCATTTAATCCTCACAGAAACCACCTGGGACTGTTATTATCCCCACTTACAGATGAAGAAGCCCAGGTCATTCTGGCTCTAAAACTCATGCTGTTTTCTTTATGCTCCTCTGTCTCTCCCTTCTCCCACTGTAATGTCTCACAGGCCACGACTTTTACTCACTTCTGCCATGTCTTCTCCAGAACACCATTTATTGATTCACTTAAGAAGTATGCATTGGGAGCATACTTAAGAAGAAGCAAGGAGCTGGGCACAGGTGCTGTGGGCAGGTTCACCCTCTTCCCTTCCACCTGGGCATCATCCATGGGCTTTGCCAGACCTCCAGTCTGTGCCAATAGCTCCTGATGGACCTCAGGGTCCCACAACCAAACAAATGGAATGCACCAACTCAACCTTCATCAATTTGCGCACATTCTTATTATACTAACAACTCATGTTTGCATCATTGTTTACATTTTACGTAACCCTTTCTTGTCGGTTACCTCATTTGACCCTCACAACAACCCTGTGAGATGGCGCTGTTATGCCCATTTTACTGACAAGGAATCTGAGGTTCAGAGAGGTAATGCCACTTCTTCCGCCTCATCAATAAAGCCAGGTTTCTAGAATCTTATTTCACGCACTTTTCATCTCCCGTGTACCCCTCCACAAAATGTATCAACCAGTCCCCTCTGATAACCTCCCATGCACTCAGGTTCTCCTCTAGGAAGTCAGCGGACATCACCCTGAGTAGCTTCTCACTTTCAACTCCATCTCAACTCTTTTGCCAAACTGGTCACAGCCACTCCACACACCCCAACTCCCAGAAGTCGACCTTCCTTCTAAGTTTGCTCCATGGCTTTCCTTTCCTTCCTCCTTCCTCCAAGCTCTACCAGGTGCCTTCTCCCAGCTCTGTGGGGTAGGAGACAGGGGGGTGGGGGGGGACCAGTGGTTGGAGGAGGGAGGGGAAGTGTTCCTGCAGGGAGCTCTTCTGGGCCTCCGGGTCCCTGGCACTTAGCTCTTCCGTCTGGGCTCCTGGAACTTCCACAAGGTTGCGCAAAAATGGAGGAGGAGAGAAACACCAATACACAAGGGTAGGGGAAAGGTTAGGCACAGGAAGCATAGGGGAGCCTGCTGGGCTCAGACCATCCTGATTTCCCCAAACACACCATTGTCCTCCATTGTCCCCCGGGGAGACCTGCTGGTGAAGTCCTAGGCATCTCCTTCTAGAAGGGTCCTTCTTGAGGTCACCTCAGCAGTTCCCCAGATGGGCTGTTTTCTCTATTTCTTCCAAGCTGACTAGCTGAATGGTGTGAGACTTTCTGCCAGGAAAACTGAGGTCTGGGGAATAAGAGGGGTTTGTGGGGGCACCAGGAGCCTTGTGGCGGGGAGACAAGAAATAGCATCAACATGCTGCACCCCAGCTGTGACTCCAACCCTTGCACTCCCACCTTCTTTTTGCTTGATGTTCAGCGGGGGTGAAGGTGATGTCACAGGTGCTGAGTGCCAGCCACATGCTGAGCGCCAAGCAAAACAGCCAGAGCAAGTGTGCATCATCAGTGCCTGGGAAGGAAGGCCGTCAGAAGAAGTGAGTCTGGTAGAAAGACTTGAAAGAAGGAAGGGAGGCACCTTCTGGATGGGGGCGGAGAAGACCAGCATAAAACGGCTGCAGCCAGAACTAGAGAGAGAAGGCGCAAGCTGGCACTGGGGAGGGATGCCCCTCATCCTCCCCTTCTCTGCTTCTCCCAAAGCGTGTAAATGCCCCAGACATGAGCCAGCCCAGGCCTCGCTACGTGGTAGACAGAGCCGCATACTCTCTCACCCTCTTTGACGATGAGTTTGAGAAGAAGGACCGGACATACCCACTGGGAGAGAAACTTCGCAATGCCTTCAGGTAACATGACACAGAGCCCAGCCCCCTCTCCTCCTCTCCCCACCACAGTTCTTCCTGCACCAGGGACGGCTCCTGCACTAGTTTCCCTAAGACAGAGCTTGGGGAAGCCCTGGTGTGGGGGGGGGGGCGTTATTCGGAGCCCCGAATGGAAGATCCCACAATCTCTCCTGTTCTGAGACTCCCAGGGAGGATGGGGAGTAGGTGGGGCAAGGATCACCCACAGATTCAGAAAGACCACCCCTAACCCGCTGCATGGGGTCTTTGCCACATTCTCAGTCCACTCAAATCTCTTCTGGCCTCTTAAGGGAACTGTATATGGTCATGCTACAGCATGAGAAGGGGGTAGCATCAGCGCTTCAATGTTCTGTCCCCTCCTTATTAAGAAAAATCTAAAGCCACCACCACCCCATGCCCTTGTTCCTCTTTCCATCCTAGATGTTTCTTTCTTCTCCTGGTCCAGAGAATGCCCAGACGCAGCCCCTAAATCCCTGGGCTCTCTTAAAGGGTACCTACCAGGATGTGGTCCCACCAGCCCCTGGGTTATTTCCGCTCTTAGATCCCCGGAACTGTGAAGATGGGTAGTGAAACCTCACCTCTAAGGAGGGGCTCCACGAGGTCCAGGGTGCTGCGGCTACGAGCTTCACCTTCCCCCTTCCCAGACTTCTGAAAGACCTCACTCAGGCCTCACGGTGTGCTGGCTCACGCATGCTTCCTCACTCCCTGAGAAAACAGCTGATTCAGTTACCTGGATTGAGGTCACTGGCAATGGCTGAAGTGGAGATGCAGGTGGAACTGGTTCAGACCGGAGGAATCACCCACTTCAGTTTTCACCAAAAGCCCAGGCCCAACCCTACCTTTCCTGGGAGGCTCTATTTCTGCCCAGTTACAGCCAAGGTCTTGGGTGCCCAGTGTCCAGGCACTGTGCCCACAGCTGTACTCCTTGGCTAAGTGGGCTCTGCCAGCCTTGGTGCCCAAAGAATTTAAATTTGGATTCTTTCTGTGCTGGAGAGATGAGGGTATCTGCTGTTGTCCTAAAAGATTAGGATGATGAAAACTATAAAGGGATGTAGGAAACTAACAATTTCCATGAGGCTGCCTGGGAGCCTTGGACAGTACCTGGCACACAGAGGTGTTCCAATAGATATTTGTTTAGTGAATGAATGAATTTTAGAAAGCTAATCCCTCTGCCCACTTCCCTCTTGGCTTCTGCATAGGTGTGTGGCATCTGTTTTCAGCTCTTCCCTTGGGCTTCAGATTGCTTCGCTCATCTTATAGCAGGCTGGCAAGTGAGGCTGGGCAGGTACCAGCTGTCAAGTGGGTTGTTTTTCTTTCCCTAGCCAGCTCTCCATTCACAAGTCCAGTTTTCCCTGCCACAAACAAACCTAGTAAAGCTCCGGCAGGGCTGGTTCTCTATTAGGACAAGGCTTTAGAGGTGCTTTAAGCTCCCTGTTCACCATCCTAGGGATAGGAGAGGCGCTCACCTGCCCCAGAGGAGACTGGGGAGTCAGATGTGGACGGTGACGCTTTTCCACGGAGTGTTGGTTGGGACAGAAAATGTGTCCAGACTCTACAGGGTACAAAGCATCGTCTGTGTGGATTTCAGTCTTGGGTGACAGGGGACCCAGTGTCAGGGAAACTATTGTTGAGCAACAGCAACGAGCAGGAATTGGTGCCGGGCAGGAAAGGAGGCCTAATCAAAGCAGGCTAGTGAGTCACCAGATGGGCCCTGAGTATTTGAGTTCCTTCAGCTGGGAGAAGAAAAAGCAAATCCTCCCACCCTTTTCTAGTCATCAATCCCCTGGCTGTCACCCTCAAGTTTGTAGGTCCTTGTTCCTGCCGCCCTTGAGTTTCTATGAAAGGACCTGGAGGTGTTCAACAAACAGGGCAGGGATCAACTCTCCCCACCCTGCATTGACCAACGAACAGCTCCCTGTTCTTCCCTCCCCCATGAACTAACAGAGGAAAGAACCCAGTATTGGAGTCATTGCACATAATAGACGTTGGGTCCACAGAGGCGCACCCTGCAGGGACAATGGAGCCTTCCTTTTAGGGGAAGTTCTAAGAAAGATGGCAGCAGCTCCCTCCCAGAATGAGTTTCTTTTTCTTTTTTTATTTGTGATACTGTTTGAACATTTACAGTGAGAACATAGTCACTTTCCATAAGAGGAAAGGTTTAGCAGCAGCCCTGTAACCCTGTAACCTATTCCTTCTTTTTACGAAGGATTCTTGGGGGGGGCGGGAGAGGAAGGATCCCCACGCAAATCCCTTTGCAAATACTCTAGTAAACAGAGCTTCTGGTAAACAAGCGCATGGTATTTACTAGTAGAAATATAACAGTGAGTCTATATCTGTAAAATGTATTTAGCAATATATACTTAGGCTGCCTGGGTGGTTTATTGTAAATACACTTGAACAGAGTGATTTCCAATACCAGCCCAACCTTTCACTTATTTATTCATTCATTCATTTATTCAACAAATATTTACTAAGCACCCCAGTGTAATGCGCAAGGTATACAAAGATGAAAGAGAGAACCAGGCTTCTCACTATAGTGGAAGAGAGAGATGAAAAGGAAGTCATTACAACACAGAGCAGACATGAAAGGAAACTGCAGGACCCCAGACAAGGGGGCCCAGGCCTGAGTGCAGTGAGACGGGAACTCAGAGAAGCCTTTCCTGGAGAAAGGCCAGCTGAGGTGGGGGCTGGACTTGACACCTGGGAAGTTTAAGCCACCATGAAATCCATGCCTTTAAGCCAAGTCTTGCAGACTTCCTAGGCAAGCAGCCGACAGTCAGAAGGCCTCCAGCTACTGCACAGGGCCTGCTGATGGCTCTCAAGAGAAAGTCCCTGCCTTTTCTTCTCACTATCCTTGCACACCCTACAGTATGGGCACTCACCAAATTTTGAATGAATTTTGAATAAATGGATGACCAGCAACAGGATATTGTCATCCCTCCCCAGCTCACAGCGTCCAAGCCCGGCAGCGCTGACTGGAAACCTGCCCCTGTTTCCTCCAGATTTTCCTCAGCCAAGATCAAAACCGTGGTGTTTGGGGTGCTCCCTGTGCTCTCCTGGCTCCCCAAATACAAGATCAAAGACTACATCATCCCTGACCTGCTTGGCGGCCTCAGCGGTGGATCTATCCAGGTCCCACAGGGTGAGGGGTCCCCTCCTTCAGCCAGGCCTATTCCTCTCCTCCCCCGCAACGACCCTCACCCCCACCCCCCACCCGTGGCCTCTGGAACCTGCCATGCCCCTGAGCCTTCAATCTCATCCTCCACAGGCATGGCGTTTGCCCTGCTGGCCAACCTTCCTGCCGTCAATGGCCTCTACTCCTCCTTCTTCCCCCTCCTGACCTACTTCTTCCTGGGGGGTATCCACCAGATGGTGCCAGGTAAGGAGGCCTTTCCCCTCCCAGCAAGCAGGATGACCTGAACCACGAGGACGGGTGGCGTAGAAAAGGGGGTTGGGTGATTTCCATCTACATTCTCCTCTAGTTGGTGCCAGTTGGTCCTGGAGGGACCGTCGCTGTGTCAGTCCCAGGTCCTCTGTGACCTTGGAGAAATCACTTAAGCTCTGTGAGTGCAGTTAGCATTCCCTGCTCTACCTCCCTCCCTGGAATGTGGGGAAGACTTGGTGGAACAAGATTAACTGTATGACATAAAGTGTTAAATGGTTGTAAGAAATTACCATCTAACCCCCAGGCTGGTCCCAGCAGGCCACTGCTGGGACATTTGGAGGTCTCTGGTGCTAAGTGAAGTGGAGTAAAAGGGCCTGGTCACAAGGCCTGTTTCTGGGTCTGGCCTCCAAGCTCGTTTTCTCATGTGTCCAATGAAATAATATTAACAACCGAGGTGAAAGCACCGTGAAAATTATAGATCATGGTTAGATATGAGCAGTGGTGGTTACGCTGGAGAGTAGCCTTGGAGGTGTGGGGCTCCATCCTCTTGGGGGTCAGGGAGCAACCATGGGTGTCGTCCAAATCTCTGATTTTTGCTGGCTGGGTGGGGCACCACAGGTACCTTTGCCGTTATCAGCATCCTGGTGGGTAACATCTGTCTGCAGCTGGCCCCAGAGTCAAAATTCCGGGTCTTCAACAATGCCACCAACGAGAGCTACGTGGACACGGCAGCCATGGAGGCCGAGAGGCTGCACGTGTCAGCGACACTAGCCTGCTTGACTGCCATTATCCAGGTGAAGGGGATGGCCGCATCCCTGCCAGGGCCCTGCCCCAGGAGGACATCAGACCACCATACCCCTGCCTCAAAGCCCTCACTTTGACGTTAAAGCTGATTTAGGGCTCTGCCTCCTTCCTCTTCCCCAGTCTCAGGGCCACCAAAGATCTTGTAAAGTCGAATATCTCCTCACCTGCAGGTCCATAAGACTAGTGTCCACACCTGATAAAACTGTCCTGAGTTAAGGACTGTCTCAAAGCCTCATGGCCTCTCTCTCCTCTCTTTCCAGAGCCCGGCTCTTTTCCAGGGCAGTCCTCCTGCTCCCTAACATCCCTTATCCCCCTCCAGCCTCCTCTGCTCCTAGCCACAGCATCACCTGCACAACATAAATTGCATTTCCAGGACATGCAAAGCACTCTGCTAGGTTTTGTGAAGGAAAACACAACCTGACAGAATGCAAGAGGGCAGAAAACAGGAAGCAACCTCAGAGGGCACCTTTCATTCATTCATTCATTTAGTTATAGTTCTTGGTTTTTTCATTGTGCCAGGAGCTGGGCTAGGCCCTGGGGATAAAAGATAAGTAGGAAAGAGGCCCAGCTCCCAGGAGATCCCAGTCCAGTAGTGGAAGTAGCCATGTCAACAGATAAATGTATAGGCAGTGAGATAAGCAGCATAATAGAGCCATGTACGAGTAGCTGAGGGGACAGCAAAGAGAGTCGGGGAAAGCCTTTCCTCAAAGAAAGGAGGGGACATTTGACCCAAGCCTTAAAGGATGATTAGAAGTTGACCAGTAACCAAATGAACAAGGCATGAAAGAATGGTCCAAGCAGAGAAAATGCACCCCCAAATCACTGAGGCCTCAGAAAGTGTGAACTGACACGGAGGGGGGGGAAAAGTGTGAACTGACCAGGGATTGGCAAGGAGTTGGGGTGCTGGAAGGCAGAGGGCCTTTGGGGGAGGCTGGAAAGGTAGGCAGGAACCAGACAATGAAGTCTGAGGTCTGTCCCCTAAGCAGCGGCTTTGACCGGTTAAGGATTATTTGGACTACAGAGAAGATGAGAGGTGGGAGGTGGATTAGGAGGCAGAGAACCCATTGGAAGACTATGCAGAGGCCCAAAGCAAGACAGCTGAGGGCCTAGACCAGAATGGTAGCCATGGAGAGGGACATAGAGATGGGGTGGACTTGGGAAACATTGTACCAGGGCAAAATTAACTAGGCTTGGTGATAGATGGGCTGTGGGAGGTGAGGGAGGATGACTACCAAGGTTTTGGTTGGCCAATTGGGTGGATGGCAGTGTCATCCACTGAGAGAAGAAACACTAAGGGAGGAACAGTTTCATTTAGAGATGAGGAAACTGAAGCCAGAGAGTTGGAATAACAAAGAGGCCGGTGTCCTAAAGGGACCAAAAGTCTGCTGGCACACTAAAGGACAAGACAAGGTCACAAAGGACCCATTTACCTAGAGCTGCTGTTGCTCAGGGTTGCATGGAACTCCTGTCCCAGGTTTGGGTCAGACAGGTGTGGGAGCTGCTGACTCTCTTGGTCATCCCCACTCCCCCAGATGGGCCTGGGCTTCGTGCAGTTCGGATTTGTGGCCATCTACCTCTCTGAGTCCTTCATCCGGGGCTTCATGACAGCCGCTGGCCTGCAGATCCTGATCTCGGTGCTCAAATACATCTTCGGCCTGACCGTCCCCTCCTACACAGGCCCAGGGTCCATCGTCTTTGTGAGTCTGGGACCGTACTCCTGCCAATGGGAAGGGGCTGGCGCAGACGTAGGGCAGAGTTCACTGCTTTAAGAAGTTATGAGTTTCTCATCATGAGATGCTCTCAAGCAAGGGCTGGCGGATGTTTGGAGAGGCTTCTGAGGAGATTCGCACATTGGGAGGGAAGGTCAAACACAAGACCTTGAGGGTTCACTGAGGTTCTCTGTAGTTAATCCCTACAGAAAAGGAGATGTACACTCTCCACCAGTTCCATGTTCCCATGTCTGGGAGGGCCTTTTTTCAGTCTAGTCTCCATCACTCCTTTCATTTGAACTCTTTCTAGAGAAAGAGAAAGGGAATCAGCATTCCCATTGCAGCATGAGCTCCAGACATGACCTTTGGGAGAGGGTGGTGGAAGACGGTATGGAGGTCATGACCAGGAACTGGGTTCTGCTTTGGTGTGCCTCCATGAGCACGAATGACCTCCCTTTACTGGGTCAGACACCCACGGTGCGGGTGGCATGGGAAGAAGGGTGGGAGCCCATGAGCATAATGCTCTCTCCCCCCAGACCTTCATTGACATTTGCAAAAACCTCCCCCACACCAACATCGCCTCGCTCATCTTCGCCCTCATCAGTGGTGTGTTCCTGGTGCTGGTGAAGGAGCTCAATGCTCGGTACATGCACAAGATCCGCTTCCCCATCCCTACCGAGATGATTGTGGTAAGGACCTGCTTGTGGCTGGGTGTTGGGGGCCAGGCTAGAGAGGCCTTGAGAGGAGGAATCCAGCTTCAGTCAGAGCCAGGGAGCCCATACCCACCCTCACCCCCATTCCACTGCCAGGCAGCGGGACAGGAAGTCAGGAATGAATTCCTTCTAGCCCCCTGAAAATGACTCCCTTTCTTCCTGCCCCTCAAGGTGTTCCCTCTCAAGGAGGCAGGAAAGTCAGATTTGGGGTTCCCAGGGAAAAACGAGGTTTGGGAGAGACCCCAGCCCTGACCCCAACTTCAAGCCAATCCCCATTCTTCCTTTTGGGGTTTTGCAGGTGGTGGTGGCAACAGCTATCTCTGGGGGCTGTAAGATGCCCAAAAAGTATCACATGCAGATCGTGGGAGAGATCCAACATGGGTGAGTCTGGGGGCTGGGAGGCCTGGCGCCACCCCCAACACACTCCCCATCAAGGCTGGGCTCAGAGGCCAAGCTGAGAGGAGCTCTGTGAAAGTGCCTTATGAACCCTGACACTGATCAGCTGTGAATTACCACTGTTACTAATTATGGAGAAGAGTCACACAACCAGCCAATGCTGGCTGTTTGATGAACAGTGAGTCTTAACTGCCACACTCCCTGCCAAAAGGCTCATGTAGTGGGTGCCGTTAAAGCAACATCTCTCTTATCAGCCCTTGTTGGCTCCTTGCCCTGTTCTAATGCTTTGGCTCTTTTTATCCATGTGAACAGAAAGTATTAGGATGAACCAAATTCATTAAGCATTCGCTCTGTGCCAGGCACCACACTGGGCCCCGGGAGGGGACAGGCAAGGCTGTGCTCCAGAGTAGGAACAGGGGAGAAGGACGCTCACAGCACTGGGGGCTGGAGGGCTGTATACTGCTGAGCGTAAAGAGTCCAGGATCTGGGCATGAACAGATGAGATCCTGCCGCTTACTGTCTCTGTGACCTTGGACTAGCTAGGTCCTCTAAGCCTGTCTCCTGCTTTGTCAACGGGAGTGATGGCAGCTGCCCTACAGCATTGTACTCAGGATTCAGATTGGAAGGGTAATCCTGTGAGACCCTGGCACACGGTGGGGCCCTGCTGGTCCCTGGGGGTTGCTGAAGGACTCAGTATCCTCCCTCCTCTCACGCCCTTGGGCCCTGCCTCCTCTCTGGCTCCTTGGCAGGTTCCCTACTCCCGTGTTGCCTGTGGTTTCGCAGTGGAAGGACATGGTTGGCACAGCCTTCTCCCTGGCTATCGTGGGCTATGTCATTAATCTGGCTATGGGCCGGACCCTGGCCAGCAAGCATGGCTATGATGTGGATTCTAACCAGGTAGGTCTGGCCACCCCTGGCAGGGCTGAGCAGGACGGGCCAGGGCCTACAGAGGCCTGGCAGAGATATCTTGGGGCTCTGGACTGAGATGAGTAAGGCTGCGTACCAGTGGGGAGGGGGTCTCTAAACCTAAGAGCCGACCTCTGCTTCATTGGGAGTGTATGGCTTTATAGCAATAAGCCAGGTCCTAGGCCCAAGATCCAGTTGCATGGCCAACTAGGTTTGGCTCATACCGTGCCGCCCTACCCCCACACACACACACTCCCAGCATCCAATCCTGCCCCTGTCCCCACAGGAGATGATTGCCCTGGGCTGCAGCAACTTCTTTGGCTCCTTCTTTAAAATCCATGTCATATGCTGTGCTCTCTCTGTCACCCTGGCTGTGGATGGAGCTGGAGGAAAATCCCAGGTGAGCGCTGTGCCAGGGAAGCAGGTGTGGGGTGGGAGGGAAACAGAACAGTTGCCCCCAGAGAATCCCAGGCACCCACAAACCAGGCCAGCTGCTTCTCCAACCTTCCTCTCTCCTCCCGAGTCTCCACTCCACGAAATATGTCTATTGGAAAGGAATCAAGAGCAATGCTTTCTATTTTCAACTCTTTTTTCTGAATAGGTGGCGAGCCTGTGTGTATCTCTGGTGGTGATGATCACCATGCTGGTCCTGGGGTCCTATTTGTATCCTCTCCCCAAGGTAAGAGCCCAGCAGGAGAGCAGAGGCTGGTGAAAGTCAGTAAGCGCAACCCCTAAGAGTTGTGCAGTACTTTACAGATGACAAAGTACTGTCATTGTCGTACTTTGTCCTAATCACAATCTGTGAAGTAGACAACACAGGTTTACTCTCACCATTTTACAGGTGAGGGAAACTGAGGCTGCAAGAGTCTAAGTGATGTGCCCGTCTAAGTACAGCTCACAAGTTCAGGGCTGGACCCAGACTCCAGGAGCCTTCTGATCTCAGGGTCAATTCCCCAGTCTGTTGACAAGTGCCCAAGAGCACCAGCATAGGAAGGAGCTAGACATGGGCCATGTGGGGACAAGGGAAGAGAGAAAGGGCAAGGTGGGGTCAGGATGGGCCCCATGACTGTAGCACCTGCTCTCTCCAAGCCTAAGGCTGAGTGCAGAGGTTTGGGGGCTCTGCATGGGATGTGTTCTGGCACTCCAGCTCATCCTGCCAGGCTCCAGGGCCAGGTGTTTGTAGGAAGGACAGGATGAAGGGAACAACCCAGTGACAAAGAATAATCTTCTGCCTTCTCAGTCTGTGCTAGGAGCCCTGATAGCTGTCAACCTCAAGAACTCCCTCAAGCAACTCGCCGACCCCTATTACCTGTGGAGGAAGAGCAAGCTGGATTGTGTAGGTACTGGGCGGCCGCGGTACCCATCCGTGCCCTGCCCTTCCCCAAACCCACAGCCCTGTCAGTTCTCCCCATTGGGTGATCCCTCTGGTTCGCCGCTTCCTAATTCGCATAGCCAAGTACCAAGAGTTCAGGTTTTGGAGTGAGACACCTTGTGTTCAAATCCTAACTCAGCTGTTCGCAGGCTCTGTAGCCCATAGCCAGTCCTTTAACCTCTCTGAGTCTCAGCTTCCGCATCTGTAAAATGGATATTTTATACTCTCTGCCCCACCCCACTCCCGACCCCCCAGGGTTGCTTATGAGGAAGCAATGAGATAATATAAGTAAGGAGCACATTATCCAAATTGTATCTTGTGTTCAATAAAACTTAGCTATTACTATTTTTATGATTTATAGTCCCCCAAAAAGCAACAATAAATTGTTTAATAAAGAAACTTATAAAGTCAGCAGACCAGGGTCTTAAGCAAGTTACCAGACTTCTCCAGAGTTCCATTTCTTTATTGGTAATGAAGGTGACAGTCATACCTGCGTCACACACTGGTTCTGAGGATTAAAGGAGATCATAACGGGAAAGCACCATGTAACCAGAGAACACTCTGTAAACATGACTTATTGTTATGATTAGTCATATTCCCACCGCGTCGTCCACTGGACAATAGTAAGGAGGTTACCACATGTTGACGACATTGCATTGTGTCCACTTAAGCCCCACCATAACCTATGAGAGAGGACTTACTAACCTACTTTTGAGGTGATAAAACCAACGCTGAGAGAGGTAAATAACTTGTCAAAGGCCACAGAGGTAGGAAGCTGTACAATCAGGATTGGAACCTCAAGTGTTGGGCTCCGAACCTCTATCTAGGCTGTGCTGTCTCTTCGGGGAGGAGGCTCACCTGCATGGTATGTGAAGGAAATCCCTAAAGCCAGAGAAGTGAGTGGTCCATCTGGAGCCCCTCAGTGAGTGAGTGATGAGCATAAGCCCACTGATCAGCTTTTATCCCATCCCAATGATCCCCACCATGGCAATTAGTCCCTGATAGTCACATAGTGCTTTCGGTTCCCATCTGATCCTCACATTTCTCTATGGAATTGGGCAGATTTGTTTCCTTTAGAGAAATTTGGGGAACCCTCAAGGACCATAGGGAGCAACTATCAAAACTGAATCCAATCCTGCCCCCCACCCACCAGGCCCCAGGCCATCAGGCCAGGAAGCATTGTTGAGCCTATTGGACATGCACAGCTTACTGGTAGGCAGAGAAAGGAAACCATGTGTATTGATCACCCATTGGGTGCCTATCACTAGGCAAGGAACTTCACATTCCTTAACTCTTTAATCCTTTCATGAAGCAGGTATTATTATTCCTCCTTTGTGGATTAGGCAACTAAGGTTCACATAGCTAGGAAGTGAGAGAATGAAACTTGGAACTAAGGACTGACCCAAGTCATTTGCTGTTATCATTATGTCACGCTGCCTCCCTGTGTGCGCTGGGCTTGTCTATTAAAAACCAGACAAGATCAGGGAGCCACACTCAATCTAAGGGAAACGGGCAAATGTAACAAAAGCACAAAAACATAAAACAGTGCAAAGATGCCATGAAAATGGAAGGGTAGGTCTGGGCTGTGCTACCAGAGAATGGCCTTGGCTAATACAGGACAAGTTCCTGAAAGAGGCAGTTTTCTCCTCAAGCCTACTTTGGTATCTCTCTCCTCACAGTGCGTCTGGGTGGTGAGCTTCCTCTCCTCCTTCTTTCTGAGCCTGCCTTATGGTGTGGCAGTGGGTGTCGCCTTCTCCATCCTGGTTGTGGTCTTCCAGACCCAGTTGTAAGTAACAGCCCCTCCCCTCAAGACACAACAGGGGGGGCCCTGGGCCAGTCTTCCAAGGGCTCCCATGCCAAGGCCTGGCCCAGCCCACCACACCCTGCTGCCTCTGAGCCTGGCACTGGAGCTGCTGCCAGACCTGAAGAGAGCTCAACCTAGCCAGGACTGTGGGCACAGGCTGGGCTATCTAACTTCCCATATCCTGAAAACCCCAGAGGAAGCCATCATGGTCTTGGAGGGCTGGGGGTCCAGAGAAAGTAGGGGAAGAGCCGGTGGGTAAGGCTCAGTGTCTTTCCAAAGGCACTACCAGACCCCAGACCAAATGAGACCCCACCCCAGGGAAATGTGAGGCCAAAGGATAGATGCCATGTCCTTCTGTGTCTGTAAAAGATTAAGTAGAACAGGCCAGGGGGTTCAGGCCAGGGCAAGAAGGATGGTGAATCTTAGGGAAACCCTTCTTGAGAGCTCAGGACCACAAAGCGATGACTTCAGGGCCACGTAAGCTTGTCATCTTGTGCACCCCCACCCCTTCTCCCTACTGAGCCCCTCTGAGAACTATGTCAAGGGCTTGTCACTCCTCTAGTTATAGCCCAGCCACAGGCCACCAGGCATGCAGCTCTAAGCAGAAAGGCAAACACAAGCCTGAGGGTGAGGAAGAGACCCTCTCCTGCCCTTCCTCTGCTCCAGCCCACAACCTAGCATCCCTCCAGGTTCATCTGATACTAGCATTAACTTATGTTTTTCATTTTCTTCTTCATTTAGTCGAAATGGCTACGCTTTGGTTCAGGTCAAGGACACGGACATGTATGTGAATCCCAAGACCTACAATAGGGTAGGTAATCCAAGTTTATAACCTCCCTCTTTTGCCCTGCCCTCACCTCAAATAAAAGAGGGTTAAAAAAAAAAAGCTAATAAAGACATTTCTGCTACCTGAGCTCAGTCTCCCTGTCACAGGTCCAGGAAATCCAGGGGATTAAGATCGTCACTTACTGCTCACCTCTCTACTTTGCAAATTCGGAGATCTTCAGGCAAAAGGTCATTGCCAAGGTAAAGCTCAGTCCTCTGGTGACCAGGGGGGCTTGCCAGAAAGTATCCAGAAGATGGAAGAAAGAAGGCTGGGAGCCAAGGGCAGGCTGCCTCCAGTGAGGGTAGAGGCCAAGCCTGCTGTTGGCTCTCTCCTTACAGACGGGTGTGGACCCCCAGAAAGTATTGCTGGCCAAGCAAAAATACCTCAAGAAACAGGAGAAGGGGAAACTGATGCCCACGCAACAGAGGAAGTCTCTATTTATGAAAACCAAGGTGAACTGAGGCTAGGGATAGCCAATGCCCTCTCTTTTGCCCTCTCTAATCTTGGCCCCTGGTGCCCCACCTCCCAGCACCCTTCAAGGCAAAGAGAGAAGTCTCTGTGGCCATTATCTGGTGGCCACTGAGCATTCTTATCTTTGATGAGGGGATGCCAGCTCTGGGGTAACCACTGAACTCCCATGCCCCCCCTCCACTCCCATTCTCTGGCTAAGATACGATATGGCCTGTGGACTTATGACTAACCCCAGAAGGGGAGGAGCAGTAAATTTTCTGGGGTACCCAGCCAACCCAGAGCACCAAGGTAGAGTTGGGTTTAGGAGTTCTGGGGAGAAGCAGGCAGGCATGGACAAATGCAAGAAGAAACTCAACTGTTTCCAAAGGGACTTTGCCCCAGAGCAGAGCAGGCTGTGGCTTCAGTGCCTCTCTTAGAAGGGACCTCCAACTTCGTCTGGGTTATGAGAGACCAAACTGCCGGACCTGCATAAGGAAGGGGTTTTGAGGGATTCCTCTTCCATGGGGATTTTGGGCTTGTGGTCACCATGACCAAGTTCAGTGATTCCCCTCTACCTACATGTTCCTTGCCCCTGCTTCAGCCACAGCAAAGTCTGATTCAGTTTGCTGATCCCTGACTACCCCCCACCCCCACTCTCTAGACTGTCTCACTGCAGGAGCTCCAGGAGGACTTTGAGAACCCCTCCCCAACCGACCCCAACAACAACCAGACACCTGCTAATGGCGCCAGTGTATCCTACATCACCTTCAGCCCTGACAGCCCCCCAGCTGCCCACCGTGAGCCGCCCGCCTCTGCTGAGGCCCCCAGTGAGCCCACTGACATGCTAGCCAGCGTCCCGCCCTTCGTCACCTTCCACACCCTCATCCTCGACATGAGTGGGGTCAGCTTTGTGGACTTGATGGGCATCAAAGCCCTGGCCAAGGTGAGGCCCTTAGGCAGAGAGAGCGCTTCACCCCTGCTCTCCCACACTCCCTTTCCCTGGAGTGTTCATTCTGACGAACTTAGGGAGAACGTGTGCCAAAGAGACTTGAGGCCCCTAAGGATCCCTTTCCCCCAGACATGACCAGCACAGGATGCTCTCTGTAGAGCAGGCTCAGGCAGCATCAGACAACGAATGGCTGAGGAGGGAGATCAGAGGTCCAGGCCCCGCTATTCCACCCTGCCTTAGCAACCCTCTCCAGCAGAGACCATCCCAAGTTCCTTCTCAGGACACCAGGAACCCACCCCAGAGTCCTCTGAGTAGAGTCCAGCTTGGCCCTAGTTCATGGTCCGCTGCTCCTTCCCACACTCACCCAGATACTCTAGCACCAGCTGGTTCCAACCAGCCAAGGAGAGAAAAAATAATGCGCGTGCCCCACATCCTCACAGGCAGCCCACGGGGCACCTTGAATAAATGTATTTCTCTGACAACTTTTCACCAGTCACTTCCAATAGCTAAGTCAGCCAACCTCAGAGCTGGCTCAAATCGAGAAGAGCTGAGGGGAGCAGAGCAGAAGAGCTGACCAGGTGCGCAGAAAGCTCCAACCCTAGTGGGGGGGCTCGACCTGTTTTCTGGCCTGGACCCAGAGTTGAGGAGGGTCTTGGATGAAGCCCTATCCTTTCTGCGCCTCGGGCCTCCCCTGCAGCTTCTGCCTGAAGCTACAGTCACAAAAGAGGTGGAGCCTGGGAATCTAAGCTACTGAAAAAAACCATCTGGCCCCATCAGAAGAGGCCATGGTGACTTTAAGTGCCCGCCTCCTTGGCAAAGCCCTACTTCCTCCCTTCTTTCCAGAGGAGGCGTCAGCCAACACTCCAGTGAGAAGTGGTGTACTTTGCTGCTATTTTTATCTTTGGCTGCCAGGGCTCTTGGGGTTGCTTATTTGTTTGGCTTCCCCTCTGAAGTGCATTTTGTGAATCACTTTTAAGACCCACTCAGAACATTCCTTTCCTTTTGCTTCCCTACCCCAACACTTCTAGCTGAGCTCCACCTATGGGAAGATCGGTGTGAAGGTCTTCTTGGTGAACATTCATGGTACGTGAAGGAAGACATTTAGGGGACTGAAAGGCTGGCAAGGGGGTGGGGTAGAAACAGGTTGGGGGGATGCTGAACAGTGAAGGGGGTGGAAATGAGAGCACCCATATATTTCCCCAAACTACTGCCTGCTCTTAAGAGAAGGCAAGTGAGAAGAGACTGGCCAGATTGTATAAACATGCCAGGGGTCTCAATTGCAGAATGGGAGATCATGGTGTTAAAAAAAGACAAGTAGGATTCTAATTTACCCCACCACTAATTTGCCATGTATCCTTGGCCAAGTCACTTTATCTGTCTAGGGATCAATTGCCACCTATGTAAAATGAGGATGTTGACTAGATGAATGTGGGGATCTTCTCCAAGTCTGAAAGTCCGTGAGTAAGCATAAAACACATACATACCATAACTACCCAAAGAACACACAGATATGCAGTTTTACGTGCACACAATCTCCAAAGGGAACATATACACAAATCCAAAGAGATGTCCACATAGCACTGGACTTTCACACCATTAGCACATATGCAGCGTGCAGGGATGTGCACGCACAGACACACAAGAGAATGTGAAAGAGCATATACTTACACACCCCACTTCCCACCGAGGGTCAGAGCCCTTCCAGCGGGCCTGCCCCACTTCAGAACTGGCCTGAGCACATCCCAGGCTTGGTGGAGGCCCCGCTTGGGGAGAGAATCTGCAGTGGCAATGACGTGCTGTGCATGGGCTCCAGAGTTAGAATCAGAGGTTTCCTCCCACCCTGACTGACACTCCTCAGGAAATCAGCTCTACAATTTGGTAGGAGTGGGCTAGGCTGCACACTGGAAGTATCAGGAAAGGTCTGGGTAAACAAAAGGAAGGATGGACCCTCAGGAGATAGAACTGGCAGCCCCTCCTCCTGGAAGTTGTAGCCTTTCCTTCTCAAATCGCCACAAAATACCTACCTACTCTCTGAACCAAATGGCTTCCTCCTGGCTTGGGTTGAAGGTTCAATTCGGCATCCGCAAGCTCATGTTGCCCTCTGCTGTCCAGAATTGATATTGCAAAGCCAATCCACAGCCCTCACATACCTTCAGACCTCTCTCTCCTTCCCTCTCACCATCCTCCCCCACCCCAAGCTCTAATCCACAAAGGCTGTCCTCTTTCTGAAGGTGGTCTTTTCCTCCTTTCAGCCCAGGTGTACAATGACATTAGCCATGGAGGCGTCTTTGAAGATGGGTGTCTACAGCGCAGCCATGTCTTTCCCAGCATACATGACGCAGTCCTCTTTGCCCAGGCAAATGCCAGAGAAGTGGCCCCAGGACACGGCTTCCAAGGGGTAAGGTCCAGACACCTGGGGAATCCTAGGCCCGAGGGCATTGAAATAGCAGAATCGGGACATTAGAAAGAACACAGAAGTTCTGGGTTCCAAACCAATTCTGAATCTGTTTCCTTACCTATAGATTGGGTACCCTAAACTAACATTACCTACCTCACAGGGTTTTTCTTTTGTTTTTGTCTTAGGAATAATTAATAGTTATCTTTTATGTCACTTGAAAGCACTTTGTATATTATAAAATATTTTATTAATATTAATGTCCAGGTCACACAAACCCCAAAACGTATTAGGTTACGCCTGGTATTGCGACACTGCTCACCCCTTCTCCTTCACTCTTCCTGGAAGAGACTTTGGGGGCGGGAGGGGAGTAAACCGGTACATTTTATTTTTTTTTTTCTGTTCCTCCTTTTTTTTTTTATTGTTAGTTTCAGGTGTACAGAACAATGCAATAGTTATCCTTTTCACCCTCACAAAGTAACAGCCCCCCTCCCCCCATGTACTGCCCTCCCACCCCCAGTACATTTTAATTTAGCAGAGCTTGGAGGTTTCAGGCTGGTGATAAATGAAGAGGCTAGATCGGAGTTTTGTCTCAGTTTCTTGACACTTAATTTACTAGCTCAGTAAGAGGTATGCAAATGAACTACAAATAGCACTGCCTAGGACTCCAGAAAGCTGAAGAGGCAGAAAAAGCCCAGCCCGCTGAGGTCCCTGCCCAGGCCTCCCCACCACCTCCAGGCCTCCCTCTCAGCTAAGCCCCTGCCCTTGTCCTCCCAAGACTTCATGTCCCAGCCCTTGCTTTTTAAAACCCTCCGCTGTCCCCGGTGAGTCATGGAAAGGCTTTTCTGGCCCTAGAGCAACCATTTGCTCTTTGCTTTAAGAGACCGGTGAAGGTGAAGCCATCTGTTCTAAGTGATGAAAGACTGCCCAGGAACACATGGGACCTTGACTCCCACCCTCAATATGTAGAGGGAAACTGTGGGCACCATGGGCTTTCTGGCTTCACAAACCTTGTCCACACAGAAAAAGAGGGGGATTTGGGAAGAACCCTTATCATTTGTCATTGCACAAATAATGTCCAGTATTATAGTTTATATATTTGAAATAATTTATATCATATATCATATATTTACCTATTACAGAATATATGCATATATATAAATAGACACACACACACCCTTTTTGAACAGCATAGTAAGGTAGAAAGCCAGCAGAGCGAGTTTGATTATCCTCCTTCTACAAATGAGGAGACAGAGGGAAATGGATTCCTGAGGCCAGGCAGATAGCCTTTGTCCTTGTAAGCTAGGTAAACCTTCCCTGCCTCTAAAATGCCCACAGAGGGCAGACCCTGATGCACACCTGTCAGGTATAAGGGGGAAGACCACAGTGGTGCTCTAGTTTGTGAAGCAGGCGAGGGAAGAGGCGGGAAGGCAGTTAATGCCTCAGAAAACATGGTGCCCACCAGGAGCCTGCCATTTGCTCCAGACTTTGTTGTTCAGTCACGGAGCTCATTCTGTACTGGTTTCCCCCCTCCAGGCTCCAGTGGACCCTGAACTCTCCTTGTATGATTTGGAGGAAGAGAGCCCCACCTACTGGGACTTGGAGCAGGTAAGCTGAAAGGCAGGGTGGCGGATATGAAAAGGGGAAAGGAAGAGACCCTCTCAACTCCAAGATTTCGCTGGGGCTCTCTCACCTCCAGGCCAGAAGAGTCACCTTGACGGCGACAACACGTGTCTTTCTCGCCTTTCTTTTAATAGCAGATCTTAATTCTTCTCACTCACTGAAAGGCATCACGAGGGAAGGGAGAGACACTGGACCAAGTCCTACAGAAAGAATATCTATTCTTAACTCTCCAACACATCAACCACGTGATCCTGAGCAAGCCATATAACACCACCGGCCCCGAGTTTTTATCATTGCGAAATAAGGGAAATATGGGTAATATCTGTCCCATCTGTCTCACAAAATTAGCAGGACATTCATTTGTGCTTTCATTAATTCAACAGGTATTTATGGATTGTCTACTGCTTGCCTCTACAGTTGCACAGTGGGCATACAGCTATGAACAAAACAAAGACCCCTGCCCTTAGGAAACTTACAGTCTGGTAGGGTCAGATGAACTCTAGGGATGCAAATTCTAGCAGAACAAATATTATTGCATGTGGACAGGCCTGAAGAGCTGAAAGCTATGCAGATGGGAGGGGTTAGTAGCCCCATAGGGCCCTGTGGTCCTGACATGAAAAGTAGCACTACCCCAATGCCCTGAATTAAAAGAAACCAGATAGAAATAACATCTCATTTTGTGCCTCTTCCCATTCTTTGTGGGCTTGAGTTCCATGGTCCTCTGAGCACACCTCTGGGAGTGTTAATGGCATGCGGGAGACGTTAGAAAATACAGCTGGAGACACAAAGATTTGGCAGACTGAGTTCTGGGCCCCCATGGAATCTCCAGTATATTCCAAAATCCCTGGCAGGACCCAAATAGTTTATCAGAGCCAGGAGGGGCTTGACAGCTTGTCTGATCTCATTTTACCTAGTGAAGAAAATGAAGCTACAAAGGGCGAGGGACATGTGAGAGGTCACAGCACACAAGAGGAAACTCCAAATCGGATTCCAAGCATCTTCTCCTGTCGCCTCTGGGCCAGTCACCTCTTAGGTTGACCCTGCCTCTCTTCTGTTCTCAAACACACACACACACTCACACACACACACACAGACATACACACATGCACACACACAGACATACACACACACACACAGACATACACACACACACACACTCACAATACCTCTTTCTAGCCAAGGTCCATAGGGTCACCTCTTGGTCACAGCCATTCTGAACCCAACAGGTCTAACGCTATTGCTTCCACTCCCCTTTCCTTCTCCCACAGGAGATGTTTGGGAGTATGTTTCGCGCAGAGACTCTGACCGCCCTGTGAGGGCCCAGCGGTTCCCACGCTGCCCAGAGGGCCTGGCACCTGGGACTTCTTGAAGGATGCGCCTGGGATCACGGCGGGTGGCGGGCAGAGGAGAACACCTCCACCAGGACTTCTGTTCCTCTCTCTCCACTTCTTCCTCCTCTCTCGTTCCCCTGCCTCCCTCGTGGCATCTCTAGAGCAAGCCAATCTCAGCAGCAGGGAGGGCCACCTCTTCATCCTTCCGCTGACCCTCAGGACTCTGGCCAGCAATGAGCAAGCCTCCTGCTCACGCCACTGTACCCATCCCTGCCCTGTCTGTGGCAGCTGACGGGAGTCCCTAACTGCCGGACTTGAAGCATGAGCCACTAACAGAAGAGGAAGTATGACTGCTGACCTAGAGTGCAAGCTTTGAGAGTGTCCTTGGGCTTGCATGACTTAGTGTCAGATGATGTCACGCTGTCACAAGACACAGGGATGGACTTGCTTAAGACTCTGTGGCTTGCCCCCTCCAGCTGTCAACTCTGTTCCTGGCAGCTCTACACCTCTGGGACCATGTGCTTCCTATAACCCAAGAATCTCTGTCTTGTTTACTGCGACCCCTTCCTCCTCATCTCCAGGCTGCTGGGACCTCCATCCTATTCAGCACATCAGACTCAAGACTGGGGAGTAGCCAGGGCCCTCAAGGTCACCAAAGCTACCTCCCCAGAGGCAGTCCACCAAGGTAGCTGCCCCAGCCTCCTGAAACATTGTCACTCCCGCTGCCCTCAGGGGCTGCTCCCTTCCAGTAGAGATGTAGAAACCCAAAAGGGAAAGGAGGATTCTGCCAGCCTAGCAACAGGTACTAATTATTCTGCATAAAAGCTTTTGGGAATCCCTCTTTGTACTGGGGACTTGGAGGAGGGGAGGGTGCTAATGCCAACTTATAGCAAATTGGTAGGACCTGGGTCCTAACAGTCCCCCTGACGTCAGAGCCCATCAGGGAAAGGCCTCCCCAAGGTGGGAAATCTGCCTTGTCCTCTTTACTTGGCAATTAATTTAACTCTCAGTTATCAGCTTGGGGACTGAATCCTTCAGCCAGGAAACGGAAGAAACCCCCCAAGGACCAGCTGCATCTCCCGACTAGTTGCCTAACATGGAGAAGGGCTGACCCAAATTGGGTCTTCCTCCATAGGGATTCCTTAACGAACTCAGGACCTGAGGCCACCTCCTTCTAGGAAAGATGAGAAGAGGGGTTAAATTCTCTATGTATATAAGGAGGTAATTAGAGGCCCCCCCACTGTGACTTGAAAATAAATAGGTTCCATGTGCAAACACTTGGGAAAATTCCCATGAACATGCACAGAAAACCTTTTGGCCTCTCGCCACCGCTTCTTCCAAGCTCCTTCAGCTTCATGACCCCTACCCAACAGGTTGGGCTGGCCCAGCCTAGAAAAATGTCCTAAATCCTAACTTCAGCCTGACCTGCATTGTGTGCCTGTGTATTAAGTGAGCTGTTCAGCTAGCAAGTCTTCTTAGAATTAAAGGAGAGGGTGCTGGCAAAGAGCCAACAGATTCTTGGCCTAAGAGCATGGTTCTCTGTGAATTCATTGTGCCATCTGTCTGCCAATGGAACTCAAAACTTGGAAGGTTGAAGACAACGTTATCTGGGATTCACCATGCCCAGCACCCAAAGTGCCAAATTCCAGGAGGACAAGACCTTAGCCAATGTCAACTCACTCTCCCCTACTCTACCTCCTTCAAAGTCTAGCTCAGGCCTAGCAGGTGGGGAAAGGTCACAAAGCCTCAGGACATCCCAAGTTAAAAGGATCCTTTTGAACCAAGTATCTAGATCCCTTTAGGAATTAATAAAGTCACTATTAACTTCCAAGGCAGCCCCAGGCCTAAATGGGATTGCTGACTCACAATGGCCTATATTTGGGGCTTAAGTAGGGATCCTGCAACATGTCCAAGGTTATATGAGGTCTGACAACTAAGTTAGCAAACTTGTTGCAACAATGATATCAGAGGGGTTATTCATTATGAATTTGTACCATCTGGGCAAATAGTTAATCAGGTTTACTATTTGGAAGTGCTGAAAAGGCTGTGTGAAAAAGTTAGATGACCTGAATTTTTTGCCAACAATTCATGGCTCTTGCATCACAACAATGCACCGGCTCACAAGGCACTGTCTGTGAGGGAGTTTCTAGCCAGTAAACAAATAACTGTGTTGGAACACCCTCCCTACTCACCTGATCTGGCCCCCAGTAACTTCTTTCTTTACCCGAAGATAAAGGAAATATTGAAAGGAAGACATTTTGATGACATTCATGACATCAAGGGTAATACGACGACAGCTCTGATGGCCATTCCAGAAAAAGAGTTCCAAAATTGCTTTGAAGGGTGGACTAGGAGCTGGCATCGGCGCATAGCTTCCCAAGGGGAGTACTTCGAAGGTGACCATAATGATATTTAGCAATGAGGCATGTAGCACTTTTTCTAGGATGAGTTCGCGAACTTATTTGTCCAACCTCATAAGTACTCACAGGGCCCACAGGGGAGGTTAAGCTAGGAAACACATGGGGTGGAGGAAGACATTAAAGAAAATTTCACTGTTGGAATACTTTGGGAAGAACACACATTCACACAGACTGCTCTCTGGACATGATTGGAACAGGGAAGGAGGGCAAAGTAGTGAAATAATCCAGAATTTCAATACTTTTGAATGTCCTTAGTGACACCTTCGATGATGTGTTTCCCGGGGAAGGCTGGAACTCTTGAGATATTTGTGTAATTTATTTAATTTAAACACCATACTCCTTTTGTTCATTTTGGTAATAAAGTGCTTTTGAAATGTGAACAAATGCATGTGTCTGAGTGGTTTTACCGAGAGGCAAAACCAGTCACCTCCAGGAAAAGCTGGCCTTGCTTTGCATTGTCCTGGGGGGAAACAACAAGGAGCTAAGACTTCACCATGAGTCTTTTAGTTCTCCACGTACTGGTTTTCCACTCCTGGGAATGAATAAATGCCCTTGGTCCAGCTGAAGAGCAGAGATCAGCATGAGAAGACTGGACTAAGGGATCCACATACTCAGGACCAGTTCCCAGACCCCACTCTACAATTTCTGTGGCTATCAGGGAAGTAGAACCCCATCATCTGTCTGTATACCATACACGAGCTACTTGTTCGACATTCATGAGGTGTTTATTAAGGGCCAATCCCATCAATACCCAGCAAAGCTTTTGGAATCGTCACTTTGGGGGAGCACACAATGTAACCACATCTTTTCCTCCCCAGTTTGTGAGACAATGCAAGGAGCGTGAAGCCAAAGGACTCAAGTGTCCAACAAGCTAGGCTGACTCCCAACTTTGCTTACTAATATTAGGAAATGGAAGGAAATACGAGGAATTGGAAGAACAGAGCAAAGGCGTGAAGGAGACAGAAATATGATGAAGTGGAAATAGATGGGCTAGAGAAAAGACAAAGCAAAGAGGGAAGGGAGGTGAGCGGTCAGCGGAGTAGAGACACATGAGAAGAAAGAAATTGGGAGAGCGAGAAAAGGGAGAACTAGGTGGAGGAAGAGAACATATTTCAGAGGCCAGTGAGTTCCAAAATGATATTTACATAGATGATGTAATCTTGTTTTATCCTGCTATTTCAGCTGCCCTGCAAGATCTGAGTAAATTAGCAAATAGCATCCTTCTCATTTGAATTTTATACATAAATATAAATGATGCTATCTTAGCCTGAATCTCTCCAAAAGCAGAACCTAAGACAAAAGATTGTATACAGGTATTTGGGAAATTATCCCAGGGAACAGGAGGGAAAGGCAGGAGGAGTGAAACAGGGAGAGTGGGAAAGCCAACACAATGAGCTACTGAGGTAGCCACTGCGGTGGGCAACTCGAGCTCCGTCCCCCTGGGCCCTCCCAGAGCTCTGTGAAATGCATTGATAAATTCAACTACATTTAAATTAAGACTTCAGGTCATCAAAAGGCCATAAAGTAAAACTGCAAGACAAAAAAGGAGAGGTGTATTTGCAACAGAAATATAACTGACAAAATATTAGTATCCACAATATACAGAAACTCCTAAAAGTCAATATGAAGACAAACAACTCAAAATAAAAATGGGCAAAAGGTATGAAGATTTTACTTGGAAATGAGAATGGCAAATAAGCATATGAAAAGATGCTTAAACTACTTAATAAACTGGGAAATTTAAGCTCAAGGGTTTTAAATGCCTGTCAGCAGCCACTCACACACCAAATAGTATCCATCAGGATCAGACAACTGAATGAAATCAATAATAACCACAGAAATGGTGAAGATGATGACTACCTGGCCGTCTGGCCTGGCAACTCAACTAATGAAAACAGCAAATGCGTGATGCATAATGCTGTACTGGTTGGCCGTACTCTCAGCCTATTGAGAGAATGACTAAAAGGGATAAATTCTTAAAATAAACAATAAACAGAGACTAGCCTTGAAGGTTCCCGGAGGGGACAAAACCAGTTTAGTCAAACAAAGCTTAATTTACAATAGCTTATTCTGCAAGACTAACTTGACCTGGGTCGTTTCTTGCTGATGCCCCTGAAAATCATTGAACTGTCACCCAAGATGGATATGAGCTCAGCACTTTTCTCACTGTATAAGCTGCTTTATAACAATATACCCCTGAGCTTTATTGCCTGTGTTGGTTGAATGCTCCCGGTTTGCAAACAGTCTTTTTGGTGTGTGCACAATAAATGTTTACTCATTCATACTTCAAAGGTTGATTGGTTTTACCTCAGCTGTTTATGAACCTTTAACAAGCCTCGCTCATTTTATTTTACTTTTTCACCCCTTTAATTTGATTTCTTGTCAGAGAGCAAGGGATTTATCAATATCTTAAAGCAGATCAAGCACTGACACGTCCTGGCATAGCGCTGGAGCCCTCCCTCATCTCTGCTCTACGTTAGCTTGCTGTAGGACTAGAAACCACACCCCCAAAAGGCCTAGCGGGCCTGGGGCGGGGCCGTCCCGTTGATTGGTTAGCCAATGGCCCCAGGCAAGCGATGATTGGCCAAGTCTAGAGAGTAAGGTGAGGCTAGGGCCTTTGCGGGAACTGGAGCAGTGACTGCGCGAGCACCCAGAGCTTCGCGTTTAGATCCCGACTCCTGGCGAGACTAGCAGCGGGGACTCGAGAGAAGCATGGCTCGGCCATACGTTTGCCTGCTGACCCTGGCGGCTGTGCTGCTACTAGGTTTCTCCACCGTTTCCAGATCGAAGTACCCGACGGGCAAGGAGCATCAGAGGGCGTCGCGAATTCCTTCTCAGTTCAGCCAAGAGGAGCGCGTTGCAATGAAGGAAGCGCTGAAAGGTGAGCCTGGGTCCCCGACGCCCACCTGTGTTCAAATATGGGTCTCTCTCTTTCCTTAGGTCAACCTGTGATTCCCCTCTCACGCCGCAAAGGATCCAGTCTAACTCGAGCTTCGCAACACACCCCAGCCCAGCCCAGCCACAGCCCCGAGCCCAGCACCTTGTGTCCACACTTGGGGACGCCGCGCTTCCCCAGGCTTGGCTTCTGTGCACTCTGTTCCCTGCCTAGCCTAGAAGCTCCAACTTCACCTGCCCCGTTTTTATTTGTACTTGTAACCTTTGAAAGTTTTTAACTTCTGCTATATCTGCATTATCTTACGTCTAAATGATCTTAATCTTATCATCTACAGAGGCAGGACATTGAGGCTTTGGTCAGATTAAATGATCTTCCCCAGAACTCCACAGCAAGGAGTGGGTACTAGTTGACAAGATTTAGCGCCTGTAAAACCTGCTGGACATGAGATGGCTCCAAGAAGGGATGTGGCATGTTCCTAATTTCTTCTTCTAATTAAAGGAAATCTCTCCCCTAGACCTCAGACCAAGTCTAAAACTCATTTACCTTCTGAATCTGCATTTTCCAGGAGACAAAAAAGGAAATTTTCTGTTGAGTGCTAGATCCTGTGGGATAATGAAATCCTTCTTGATCATTGGGCTTAGCTCCAGTCTTTTCTCTTTCATTAAGTAATGGATTAAAAGAAACTGCCTACCTAAACAGATGCAGGCAGATGCAGAGGCCAAAAGCTAACACCTATGATTGAATATAAATTGTACAAATGCTGGAGTGATAGGCCTGGGAGGCAGAACAGTGCCTTCCCAAAGCATAGTATAAAATAAGCCTCGGAAAAACATTGGGCAGCTGCTCAGAAGAGTCTCTTTTCACAGAAGAAAGCAAAAACTAGATAAGAGCCTAAAGTAGGGAGCTTATAGCAATATGGCTTGGAACTGAGCAGAGGACAAAACGCCTGAGGTCAGATATTGGATCCGCCTCCTGTGTAGGCAGTTTATTTAATTTTTTGAGCCTGACTTTCGCATCTATGTGGTGGGCTACCATGTAGGGTTGATCCTTAGCAAAACTGAGTACAAAAGTATGTTTGTCTTTCAGAGGCCCTCCCATGACATCAAGCATGCTCCAGGTACATTTCTTTTCCCTCTGTGTTTTGGGGTAGCTATCTAATCAAATATTCTCATAACTCACTATTTCCTCTCCCAGTGGTATTTTCATTTGGTAATGGAACTCTTTAAGAATCAGAAGCCTTGGGGGCGGCCGGATAGCTTAGTTGGTAAGAGCGCAAGCTCTGAACAACGGAGCTGCCAGTTCGATTCCCACATGGGCCAGTAAGCTGCACCAGTAAGCTGTGCCCTCCACAGCTAAGATTGTGAACAACGGCTTGACCTGGAGTTGGGCTGCCGTGGTGAGCTGCTGTGGGCCAACAGCCAGCGAGAGTCGCCGTGAGCGGCTGCCCAACCACCAGCAACCGACTGCCTCAGCCAGGTAGAGCACAATGATCATAATGCCAACAATGGGCCAGTGAGTGGCGTCTTCCACAAAAAAGGGGTGCAAGGCTTTAAAGGTTAAAAGGAATAACCCGTTTGCAAATCAGGGGATTAAAACATCTGGGTAGAGCAGATTATTTTGGAGTGAAGCACTCATGTGGGAGCTTCTAAACCCACCGCTTCCCAAGCACCATGTGCCCAAAAAGCTGGCCTTGGCTGAGAGACCAGTGAGACTCTGGAGGAGCCAGTGCATGAGGAATAAAAGCCCACTCTGCACACAGAAGCACACAAAGCCTCATTGGCGGAGGGAGCCAGGACAGTGGGCTCCTGGTTCATCAAAGGGATGGTGGTTTCAGAGAAAGAGTGAAGTCCTGGGTAGCAATTTAAAGTAGCTTCCCGCTCAGGGTCAGGCTCCAAAATCTACTCCATTCCCACTCACCCATCCCTAACCTTGGACTTTATTTTCCTTTAAGAACCATATTAGCCTACACGAACCCAAAAGACCTGCCTTTACATCCCAGTTCTGCTGCTTGTTTCTGGAAAACCTTGAGCAGTTCAACTAAACTCTCTAAGCTTGTTTCCTCACTTTCAAATTAGGGAAAACAGCAGTGCCGACCTCAAAGGATTGTTTCGCCCTCCACAATAAGATAATGAATGCACAGGAAGTTTTTATGCACAGAGGGCTGTGGAACAACCAACGGCTGTTATTATCTGTAATCTCCATCTCTGACTATCTGACTCTGACAGGTGCCATCCAGATTCCAACAGTGTCTTTCAGGCCTGGGGAGTTCAACACAACAGCCCTGGCTGAGTTTGGAGAATACATTCGTAAAGGTCAGCCACAAGTTGTGGAAAAGGGGTGGGAGAGATAAGACTGGGGACACTGTTCTTTTGCAAGGTGATAAAGAGGTTTATTTTGTGACTGACCAGAGGACAAGCTAATTCCTCTGGGCCTCCTTTGAGTTTGTACATAGTGGGGAGGGATAGAAGGAGAATCTAGGAGTGAAGACAGGAGAGGAAGACTATAGGTTTGCTCTTTGCAGAACTAAGGCACATAGCTGTTGGATTGGAGTTACAACTCTCCCAATCTTTGCCCTAAATACGTGTCAGTCAGTAGATCAGAAGGTAGGACTAAGAATTCCTTCTTCCTGTGAAAGTTTCCAGAACCAGACGCCATGCTCCTCCCCCCCACACATCTGTACAAGCACCTACACACCTAGACACACATACTCCACCTACCCAGGCCTTTCACCACATTTATTACTAACACATTTCTGAGCTTCTAGGCAGTCAGTAACCTTGAACTGTCACATTGGTCCTCACTCCTCGCCCCCAATACCCATTATCTGGAGAAGGATGGGTCAAGGAAGAAAAGGAGGTTTGTAACTCCCCCCATCCTCATATGAAAAGCTCACGGAGAGTAGAGAGGCCGCCTGATTAAATCAAATCAGAAAACAGCCCCTCCAAAGTTGTCAAGGGTGGGAGAAGCTGGCCTAGCGGCAGCAAAGGACCCCTCCTCTAACACTCTGAGACAGGTGGCTCTGGGATCGATCCCCAGCAGCCAGGCTGAGGCCAGGCTGGAAGTCTTTACTAAACAAGAGACAAAAATATGGAAATAAATGTATAGTGACAGTAAACTAGACAAGCTGGCTGAATAAATGAAAGCATATTCCCCTTGGGGTTTTTGTTTTCAGGTATCCACAGAGGAATTTGTGGATTCTTCGAACAAAGCCCTTAGGGAGATCGAAATTCTTTCTCCCATGTATCTTAGACCACCTGTGTTGAGACTTATCTGTAACCTAAATAATTGACCATGGGAACATCCACACCTAGATGCAGAAGTGTGGCTTTATACTAGACAGAACAATCTTTTATGTCCATATAACACAAACAGTAGGAATGCTGTTTTTTTAAAAGAAAAATATCTCTGAGATATATAGATATATAGATATAGATACAGATATAGATATAGATATAGATATAGATATAGATAGATATATCATGTTTGGTTCCAAGCAATTTGGATACTGGGCCTACTATATTCAAAATTTAGCATACTCCTAGTTTGCATAGCCCTCTACCGTGTACTTATGAACAAGACCAAGCCAGATCTTGAGCTATTGACTGTCATAATGGTGGAGTCTTGATGTGCATATTATATAGCAATAGCACACTAAAATGTGGGGAAGAGGAATTTCAAGTTGTCTGGGCAAATCAGAAATCAGACTGTCTTTGTCCCAGAAGGCTTCCTAAAGGAGGCTACATGTTTAAAATAAACAAACAACAAAACAAAACAAAGGGCAGGGGCACCAAATGGTGGGAAAACCAAGGGAAACTTAAATCTGGCTTTCTCACTCCGCTTTTCATCCCTTTGCTTCTAGCCTTTCCTACTGTGTTCAAAACCAGCTTTATCAAGCATGAAGTCGTGGGAGAGTATAGCCACCTGTTCACTGTCCAAGGCTCAGATTCCAGCTTGCAGCCTTACATGTTGATGGCTCACATTGATGTGGTACCTGCCCTTGACCAAGGCTGGGAGGTGCCCCCGTTCTCTGGGTTGGAACGTGATGGCTTCATCCATGGTCGAGGCACACTGGACAACAAGAACTCTGTGATGGTCTGAAATGCTGTGTTTCCTTTGCTTGGGGTCCCTAAAGATCAACTCAGGATGGCAGGTGCTCGGCTGACCCCTGGGAGGCAGAAGGTTATGGTAGAAAGAACCTTGGCTCCGGGAGACATGGGTTCCAACCATCAGTCTGTCTTTTTCTGGGCCATGAAATAGGGATTAGATGATAAAATCATACTTTTCTCCAGGTGGTAACAGCTTTACGCAGAGCTCTGCTTCCCTAAATGCCATCCCCTGGGACCATTTTAATTTCTCCTCTTTAAAGAGAGTCTATCCAATCCTAGTCGCACCAGCCCTGATACAGGCCCCTGAATGTCTCTCATGCCCTAGTACTCCCACTTAGAGAATCACCCTTTCTCCTCTCCCACTGTGCTTCTGTCCCTCAGGCAATCCTGCAGGCCTTGGAGCTTCTGCTGATCAGAAAGTACATCCCCCGAAGATCTTTTCTCATTGCTCTGGGCCATGACGAGGAGGTAGAGCCTCTTCACCCTATACCTATCTTTGGGACCCCTATTGACCGGGAATGGTGGTTGGTAGGGTTCTTCACCCTAGTTCAGTTTGTTCCCCAGCTGCAGGGTCTTCAGGACATGGTGTGATGGTTTGCCAGCTTCTCTGTGCGTCTGTGTGCCAGAACTATCCAAGGTCCTTGACAAAAATGCAGATTCCTGGGCCCTGTGTCATAGATCTGAATTTGTGTTTAAAGACTTGATTCTTTTAGAGCAGTTTTAGGTTCACAGCAAAATTGAGAAGAAGGTATAGAGAGTTTGCATATATTCCCTGCCCCCACACATGCACAGTCTCACCCATTATCACCATCCCCGATCAGGGTGGTACATTTGTTACGACTGATAAACCTACATTGACACATCATAATCACACAAAGTCCATAGGTGACATTAGGGTTCACTCTTGGTGTTTTACATTCAATGGCTTTAGACAAATATATAATGACATATATCCATCATTATGGTAGCATACAGAGCATTTTCACTGTCCTTAAAATCCTCTGTGCTCTACCCATTCATCCCTCTCCCCTTCCTGCAACCCCTGGCAACCACTGATCTTTTTACTGTCACCATAGTTTTGCCTTTTCCGGATTGTCAGATAGTTGAAATCATACAGTATGTAGCCTTTTCAGATTGGCTTCTTTTACTTAATGGCATGCATAGATCTGAATTTTTAACTAACTCCCTGGTAATATCTGAGGGAGGCAGGTGGTCCGTCAGCTATACCTTGAGAAATATTGGTGTGATGGCAAGAGAACTAACAAGGAGATCAACGAATGTGTTTTATTTCCAATGATGCCACTTCCTTTGACCCTGGGCAAGCCGCTTCATTTTCTGCATCCCTGTTTCTTTGCCATGAAATGAGGGGCATTTGGCTCTTCCAATTCTGACATTCTAGGAATCTGTGAGGCAGGATTGTCTAGGGCCCTGGGCGCCCCCCACCCCAAAGAAAGGAGACTGGGCAGGGAGGTACTAGAGCCCTTAGCTAAGCTGAATGGGTCTCCATTAGTTGTCTCTGGGGGTCTGGCTGAGAAGGACTGTGACTCTGGATTCCATGTCTGCAGGTGTCAGGGGAATATGGGGCTCAGAAGATCTCAGCCCTGCTACAGGCAAGGGGCACCCAGCTCGCCTTCATTGTGGATGAGTGTGGCTTTATCTTGGACGGTTTCATTCCCAACTTGAAGAAGCCCTTTGCCATGTGAGTAAAGCACCCTGCCCCCACCTTGGAAGGCATTCTCACCCACCTGAGATGACTCCAGCCTGATACCTGTAAGCCAAGCTGAAACAACTGTGTATTTTACTCCTCTTGCTTTAATTTCCCTGCGCTTTGACTAGTTGGGCTTCCCTTTCCCTTCCTCCTCTAGTGTAGATTTCTTTAAGTAACATGAAGCTGATCTCCTAGCCCACCAGACCACTGTGCAGATGGGCCTGTGGGCCAATGGGATACTTCAGGGTGGGAGGAAGTCAGGAAGGCCCTCTCTGGTCCTCTCCTACAGGATTTCAGTCTCAGAGAAGGGTTCGCTTAACCTCATGCTGCAAGTAAACATGACTCCAGGTCACTCTTCAGCTCCTCCGAAGGAAACGAGCATTGGCATCCTTGCAGCTGCTGTCAGCCGGTGAGCAACCCTTCCTTGTCAGACTCAGGATGGAAGACCTGGCACTTTCCCACAGAGTCTGAGGAGGCTAAGCTTTCTGGCCTGAAGCTGGGCTGAGAAGCCTTGGTGGAGGCCTCAGGGAGGACAGAGCCACCAGCACCCAGGCAAGAATTAGAGATTCAGGAGATCTACACATGTGGCAAGCAAAAGCTAGCAAACAAAAGCTAGGGCAGACAGCTGTAACAGTCCGAAGTCCAGAACAGAAGTTAAAATATAAGCTGGCAATGGCTGGTACATTATCGAAATTCTCCACCTGCCCTGGCAAGGAGACAAAGATGGATGAAGGCTGCTGACTGTGGGTGAGGACAGCAGGATGTGTACCAGCAGAACTCACCT